AGGGGAGGGTGACCTCTGCCCTTCCTTCTCCATCCCCTTGACAGGCCCGGGGGACTCCGGAGGTCCTGTGAGCTCCTCAGCAGGGGGCCGTGGGGGGGACCGTTCCCCCTGCCCACCCTCCAACAACCGCTTTATGTCCATGGAGGCCACCCCCCGGCCGAGGAGCCCCCGGGGACGACACAGCCGCTGCTGGGTGATGATGACGGGTCGGGGGGGCGGCAGGGGGCTGGGGGGAGGCTGGGCGGCGCGGGGAGGAGGGAAGCCGACCCAGGGGTGCCTCCCCCCCCTCCATCTGGCACCACGCACGCCGGGGCCGAACTTGGCCCGGTTGCGCTCGCCCCTGGTCTTGCGGCGCTTGACGCGGCCGGGCCCGGCCCGCGGCTCTCGGACAGCGTCCCCAGCGTCCCCTCGGCCTCGCTGCTGGCTCATGGCTGCGACTTGAGCGAAACAGAGGGGCGCTGGGTGACTGCAGGGGCGCCGCTTCCCGTCAGGCCCGCCCCCCCCCGGTACCGCCAGGCCCCGCTCAGGGCCTGCACCCCAACACCCGCCACCCGCACACACCGCCAACGGCCACCAGGCCGCGCCCTCCCGTCGCAACCCCGGTGGGCGGGGCCGAGACGGCTGCACGCGCTCCTCGTCCCTCCGCTATTGGGCGCCACCAGCCAGCTGGGGTGGGGGACGGCGCGGATTGGCTGTCGGCCGAGGCGGCGGCTGCGGATTGGCTGCGGTGGCCTGGAGGGGCGGGGCGGGGTTGAAAGACCGTGCCCGCTTCCCAACGCGTCCCACAGAGGGAAGGCGGCTGCGAAGGGAAAGGGGGGATTTATCGCTTAGAGCAGAAATCGGGAATAAATCATTTTTCTGTTGTGCATTGGAACGTCGGTGCTAGAAAACAAGGTCTCTAGGGGTATCATAGTGCCTCTGACACTACGTTCTGGGTTTGGTTCCGCTGTGGCTCTTTGTGGCAGCAGAGGGAGCCAGAGCCTCGTGCCCTGCTGCCCACCGGACCGTGGCCCTGCTAAAGCTCTCTTGGTCAATATTGGCAAATAGTGCATTAAAGTCAAGTTCAGGTGCAAACCAGGTGCAAAATACAATGCGTAGAACGTGGGCTTCTTCAGGGCGTGATCATCTAATGATGAACTACTTAGCAATACCTGCTCTGTGTTCAACTGGAAGCATCAAGGAATTTCAGCATGTAAAAGCCAACAAAAGCTATTTTAAAGATGTTGATTTGTTAAGTTTTGTTTACTTTTTATGCCAGGTTTGACCAACCTCCCTGGAGCTTTGCACATGAGCCCTAGCTAGGACCTTGAATCTTCTCAGCCAACTCCTTTGTGCAAAGAAAATTGCTCAGCACAGTATGGTTGGCAACTGCTGTTCCATCTTGGGATGGGGTCTGATGGCCCTTATCCTTTCAGGCTTCTGAACAGCAAGCATTAGAGTCAGAAAAAATAATTCTTTCTCGATGGATGTGTGACCCTTGGTTGTCTTACAGACTTGGAAGGAATGCAGGGTGCGTAGTAGCTGGTATTCCCAAGTCCTCCAGGCTTCTTGGCTGGGCGGTGAGCTGTATGCCATCCTCTGCATGCGACTGGCTCGGATGGGCTTGGGGGAAAACACAGAAAACAACTGCTCAGGCCAAGCTGCTTAGAAGGCCTTAGAAGGAAAGAAGGTAGAACTAGGAATGCCTGAAAGACTGAGGCCAACTCAGACCTAAAGAAAGCGTATTTCAATCACACGGATCTCCTTTTGGTGATTCCTTTTGGACAAAGTTGCTGGGGGAAATAATCAAGCACTTGTTTCCCAGGGATGTTCCTGTGTCGCTGCTGTTGGTTGTTTCTGTTGTGCAAAAGCGCTGCAGCCTTACACAGAACATTTTGTCTGTTCAAACCAAAGACAAAGCACATCAGATGGAACTGAAATGCCGTTTGGTTTTAAAATAAGTTCTTGCGGAGTTCTGCATGCGTGTGCTTTTGCCTATTGATTAAGGTGTATTCTGTTCCTTAAAACAGTTCCTTTCAGTGCCTGTAGGACTACGCAAATTTGTGCAACACCAGTAGAGCTATTAGCTATAGTTATAGGAATATCAGTATAGCTATTGTGGAAACAAAGGCATCTGTAAGCTTGGTTTTTCTAATCCCTTCCCTTCCCTTCCCTTCCCTTTCCATTAATTAACAAAGAGAACTGCTTTGCTCCACAGAGGCTGGCTCTGTAAATCATCCCCTCACAAATGACATGACCAGAAGGCAAGATCCTGGCACTGGTGCTTCCGGGACCCACAGGGGAGCAAGTCGTACAAACAACTGCTGTGCCCACACTGCGTGCCTCTGTTCTGAAGAGGATGTCCTCAATGCTCCTATTGATTTCTGCTCTGACAGAGCTGGCTGAAGCATGTGGGATTTTCTGGCTTTGAGAGCTATTTACGAAAAGCACATATTGATTGGGTCCTTTGGGGACAGGTTGGTGGGATGCGTTCGCTACTATTAGCTTCCTCTCTGTAACCAAGCTTCAGTGAATTAATGGCCTTCTCTGAAAAACATCTTCAGAATAAGGTGCTTGGAGAACTTGCTGCCAGCAATTCTGGTAACAGTCTTTGGAACCAACGAGCCTTTCTGGAAAATTAAAAATACTGCCTGGCATGGTATTGATTTTTATTCCAAACTGAGTAGAAATGAAACTGCTGAACTCTTCCAGCAGTTGCTCCCTTAAGTGCTATAGCATCTATTGGAATATGTGGTTACTGTTGTGTCAGACCTGCATTTGTGGGCACTGTGGCACTTCCAGTTACTCCGTATCAGTGGGAGAACTTCCAAGGCAGCTGCCATTAGTAGGAGGCTCTGCAAACTGAGCAGCGCCGTCACTTGTGCTGAGCAGAGTGCCGTGGCTTTGATTGCACTCTGGGTAAAGTCTGAACAAAGGGACCGGGAGCAAAAAGAAAGGGGAATGTGGAATGTTTGTGGTATATGCTGCAAATCAGTGCACACTGTGCTTTTAGTTTGGCCCCAGGAGATGTGCTGCGTTGTGTGCACATTGGAGCTAAGCAATGAACACCTGGAGCAGTGCTCACACAGTTCATCAGCTCTCCTCTAGTCCAGTGCTGTGCTTAAGAAAAGGAAATAAAGAAGGTGGAGGTGCAGCACTGCCCATCCCAGTGTACATCAGTGTGAGTCTCAGTGCTTAGGTGAGACCACTGAAGATCATCCAGTGTTGTAGCAGACCCTGCTGGGACCTGAGTGACCCTGATAACCTCGGTGACTTTGTCATCCTCCCGCAGCACCTCATTAATTCCCACAGAGGAGAGCTGCAGGATGGGGCTACGTCAGTTGCAAAATTATTTCCCCTCATCGTCACCCAAAGCATGTTATCATGTACTTCTCATAGCCTGCAAAGCCCTGTCTGTATACCATAATCAAATAAGCTGTGCAGGTCCGTGGACCTGAAGCACACGGCTGCACCAAAAGGCTCCACCAAGCAGTGACATACCTTCTCACTCCAGCAGCGTCCATAACCCAGGTGAGTGCGGCAGAGCTGCTGGCTGTACGTGGGTGATGCAGGGACCCATCCTGCAGGAATAAGAAATATTAAACAGGAGGATTAAAGCTCTTTGAAGACAGAATAGGTTTTGCTTTCATAATATTTTTCTTTTCAGCCTCCACATGAGCTGGCACAGCTTAGTGTGCTACAAAGCGCTCTTTATTTTCCCTTGCTCAGAACATCTCTAATTAATTCTTGGCAGGACTATCTAACTCTGCATGTAGATAGGAAGAAACTCCAGCAAAGCTGGGTCCTCCTGCAAGGCCACTCACTTGGTTCTTTCCATTCCAGGCCTTTGAGTGGGCAGGCAGGCTTTCCTTGCGTGATCTTCATATGGCAGACAAGTGGCTGCGGTATAGCAAAGGCACCAAAAGTCAGGTGCCACAGATGCAGTAGGGAAATGCAGCAATAAATGCAGCAATAAATGCAGCAATAAATGCAATAAACTGCAGATGCAGTAGGGAAATGCAGCCTCTAGAATCACAAGGGATAAATGATTTTTGTAGTCTCAGACTAAAAGCAGCTGAAAGCTTGCAGCTGATGGGGGTCAGAGGAGCTTGTTTTACCCTTCTCTCTGAAGGCTGCAATACATTCACTGTCAGCAGGGACCTGCTTTTTTGTTTAATGCAAACTAATTGGCTCCAGTGGGCACTTGGTGCACATGTGCATTTTAAGTTCTGGGTTTTAAGGTTCAGAGAAAGCCAGAGAAGACGATTAGTGTTGAATGTTTTTGTGAGGAAGGAATTCAGTAACCTCTTCACAATTTGCACAAGTCACATTTCTAAAATTTTACTTCCCTGAAGAGAGGGAAAGAAATTAAGATGGTCAGGAAAAGTGGTAATAAGCTGAGCGTGATCCTGGATTTTCTGCATTTGTTTTCAAAATATCAAAGTGCCATTGCTAAAGTTGATGCAAAGATCTTTGTGTGTGTGTGTGTGTGTGCAGTGTTGAAATATAATGCAAATGTGAGCCATTAAAATAACTCTGTGAAGGTGACAGAATCAGATTGGTGTACTAACTCGGTGACGTTTCTCTCCTTTCCCCCCACCCTTCATTACACAGTGCTGCTATTTTACAGCACTAGAAATCCTTTTGGATTTTTGTGGCTGACTCAGAGCTCCAGACCTTTGCTATTGAAAGAAGAAGAAAAGGGGAGGGGAAGAGAGGTAATCTTCAGAGTGAACGTAAATCAACCACACTTTAAAATATTTCTGAAAACACTTCATTTTGTGTCAGTTCAGAGAAGCCTTTTGGCTTTATGCCTCCTAGAAATAAATACCACTTCATACTTCAGTAGGTTTTTTTTTAATGCTCTGTAATACAGTTCAGAAAACGTAATGCAATATAATTGGATCTTGCTATGACTCAAGTGATAACTAGACTTTATTTTGGAGCAGATTTTTCCAATAAAAGATGAAATGATTTACTTTGCATAACTCCTCGTCTCTTTTAATGACCTCCAGCTGTACAGATTTGTTTTCAGAAACAAACAGTTGCTTGCCGAAAAGATGAAATGCATTGGCTTCCTTTTCTTCTGGATGCTGATGAACACAATAACAGGTAAGACTACTTGCATTTATTCATGCTGACTTTTCAATATAGAAACATTTTCACACTCAAACAGCATCTTCTATTTAGCATCAGATATTGCCTGTGTATTAATTGCAACTCCTTCCTGGCATGTTTGATTTGCAGTGCTCTTGACTACAAATGGGCAATTCCTTGCTCAACTGTTGGAGAAACAAAGCTGTTAGACTATAAGGAGGGCTCCAAACGTATCTTAAAGGAGTTGCCAGCATTTCTCTATGCACCAAACCTTTTGTTAACAGAAAATTCTCCTGTGAGAGAGTTGGAACTGATGATTTTCCTGTTTATTTACAGATGCCCGATCAATCCTGGAAGGAGACGGTAATTTGAAGACCTTTTTCTTTCTTATGTATCATTAACAATTCAAAGAGTCGTTTGTATCTCCCTGAAAGAAGAGTGATTTTTTAAATTATTTTTTAAATGCAGAAAGCAAATATATTAAGTCCAAAGGTGAAGCTTCTATTCTTACAATCCTAAAATGAAAAAAGCCAAACAGTAACAAGTATGATGACCCCTTAAAGACAAGCCCCCCAAGGGGCTGTGCTCAAGTCATTGCTAATCTGTTTTATGAAAACATGACTGGAAAGCACCAGACTTCTAATCATACGAGAGACTTCTGAGAATTTGGGCTGTCCTGATAAGCAATACTGGATGTTTGTCCAAGTATTGGCAAGAAATACCATCCTCCACAGCAAAAACCTGTGGAGATTGCCACAAATCTGATGAAAGAAATATTGGAATAAAGATTGCCACAAATCTGATGAAAGAAATATTGGAATAAATCCCTTAACACAGCCTCTCTGCTGCTGTGTCCCTTTGGGTGATTAGCCTATCAGATGAGTGTTTGCTTTTGATTAGGAAAAACCCCCAACATCCTAATGATATTTACAGTGGCTTACAGATAACAGTTATGTAGGTTAACCTTGGTTTGGTGTGTTCAGACAAAATTCTTTCTGAAAACAAAGTTGCATAGAAGGAACTCACATAACAAGATTACTGCTCTTGTTGTTTGAGTGAGGCGCACATCTAACCAGCAGCATCCTCCTTCTTCTCATGCTCTATTTTTTTCCTTATGGCTCTAAAACCTTTTTGAATGCATGATCTCTGTTTCCAAAGTTTTTGGATTGAACACACTGTTTTATTTGTGCACAGCAAGTATTTCCTTGGTAACCTCTTAGGTAAGAGTGTGGCAGTCTGAAAGTAAGATTTTCTTCAGCAGTGTCCTCTTCTCTTTATAAACAATTGGGGTTTTCTTTCACACTGACCAAGCAGCAGACTGCAAAGTGAATCTAAGTTCAGCTGATATTAACAGTTCTCTTCTGCAGACAGCATTTGGCTGGCTTGTTTGGTTTGTTATACGCTGTCTGTGCCTGTGCAGTGCAAAATTAACAACAGGGTCCAACACAAAGATTGATTAAAGCTCTTAATTCCTGCTGAAGACCCTGCTCTGAAGCTGAGTCTGATGAATGGAATGATTACCTTTTATTCAAATGGGCTTAAAATCAAAATACTGGGTTTAGCTTTGCTGCACAGAAAGATACTTATCACTGTGTGGTTGCAGCAAGCGTTTATGTTTTACAAGATTCTGTGTTGGCCTTGATTTGGGCTCGAGACAGGTCAGCTCTTGGCATTTTCAGAGTTTACTTTGGTTCATCTCATCTTTGACTTTTATTTTTTATATTTGGCACAGAATGATAGAGTGAAAGAGCAACGGGGAAAATGGCTTCAAATCGCCATTCCTCCTTGCTTTTAAACACTCCTCCGCCTTCTGGAAATTAAAGCCACCTCGGCAATTCCTGAATCACTGCAATGCTGTTGGTGTCCCTTCAGTTTTGCTCTCTGCCTTGTCCCATCTGGTGCTCCTGGGATGGGACAGTGGCTGCACCCTCTGTGAAGGGAACAGAGGGTTCAGTGGCTGTGCCTGTGCCAATACTTCATGTTGTAATAATAACCTTTCTTGATTGATTTTAGATCGAGAACCTGTGGCCATGCCATACTGGCCCTTCTCCTCCAGTGACTTCTGGTCCTACGTGGAGTACTTCAGGACACTGGGAGCCTACAACAGGATTGCCGAGCTGGCCAGGGCTTTGTTTGCACAGCTGCCTGCAGGCAGCCACCTCGGCCTCCACCTGCCTGCAAGTGAGGACTGAGCACTGCCTGCCATCATGCTGAGACATCACACCAACATGCAGCTGCTGGAGCAGCCCCTTCAGTTGCTTGCGGCCACATGAATGGGCCTCTGAAGTGTTATGTGCTTTAGAAAGCCGCAGGTAAATTAGACTTTTCTTTTTGCAAGCTGCGCTTTTGTGCAAAATCAATAAACTCCTTGATCATATGGTGAGGTTTGGGCTCCTGTTATGTTATCATGCTGCTGGGTTTGTCTCAGGAAAGCAAGCTCTGCTGTATGAGCAGTCATAGTGCTACCCTAAATCGGTCAATCAGAAAGCTAAGACTCAAGATGGAACATTAGAAAGCAAACATTCTTTAATCAGAGCTGGATGCACAGGGGTTATCCTCCAATCATGCATCGTTTACACAAAAGATCTTCAGTTTAGATGCATTACTTGTGTAACGCATGCAGAATTTTCACAGAGGTAAGTCACACATTCAGCGACCGATTCCCAGCAGGACCTCCTACTTTCTTGGTGCAAAGACTCAGCAGAACTTCCTTGTCTCCTCGCCTCAGACACACAGCCTCTGCCGCTATCTACACAAACTGCAGGGCAAGCTTTACGATGCTGTCACAACTTGTATCAATACCATCACGGGGAGCAGAGCTCAGCACGAACCGCCTCCTCGCGGCCCCGCCTCCAGGGCTACCATAGAGAGGCGGCACCGCCGCGCGCGTAGAGCGGCGAGGCTGATTCCGGAAGTTGGCTCGGCGCGGCCGGAAGTAGGAGGGCAGAGCGCTGCGGCCGCCATGAAGCCGGCGGTGGACGAGATGTTTCCTGAGGGTGCCGGTCCGTATGTGGACCTGGACGAGGTGGGAGCGGGGGGGGTGGGTGGATAGAAACAGCGGGGCTCCGGAAACGGGCTCGAGGCACTCAGCGTCTGCTGTTCCAGGCAGGGGGAAGCACAGGGCTGCTGATGGACCTGGCCGCCAACGAGAAGGCCGTGCACGCCGACTTCTTCAACGGTGAGAGACCGCCGTGCCTCCCGGGGCGGGTGGGATGTACATAAGTGCTCGTGTGGTTGTGTGGCGGCTGTGCGTTGCCTGCTGTAGCGGTAGTTTGTGTTGACTTTCTTGTGAGGGAAACGCTTGAAGCACCCTCATGGCAATGAAGCTTATTTTAAGCAGGGGATTTTTACAATAAACCACAAATGTGAATGTCTGCAAAAGGTATGAGCTTATGTGCCTAAATGCTGTGATGTAAAGGCAGAGCTCTACAGGAGCCCCTGTGTGCTCAGGGTTAATGCCTGTGTAGTTCCAGAGCCTGTGGATTGTGACTGACTGCAATGCTTGCTTCGTGCTTTTATAAGACCCCCTGCTTTATAAGACTGCTTTCATGAACTTAATTGCAGAATTTGCGTTGTTAAATGAGTTGCATTCAAGTGTGGCAGTGAGCATGCTGCTCTGGTCTGCTTTTGCTCCTCTCTGCCTTCTGCCTCGATGTTACATTTGTAGTGACTGATGGTATGTACATGTACTTAATTCATCTTGACTTCTGTCTTTAATCTCAATAACAAGACCAATGAAAGCTTGTGTGGTGTTTGCATATAATAGCAGCTGGGAATTTCAAATGTTAATTTTACCCTGTCTTGTTTTTCTGACTAGATTTTGAAGATCTGTTTGATGACGATGACATCCAGTGAACTTAGTTGTGCTGCTGTGCTGAGATGTGGAATTTTCTCTGGGATCGCCTGTGGTCTCCTTTATTTATTACAATGATTAGAACAGGAAAATTTCGTAGGGGGTGAAAAAGAGGACTGTGAAAAGATGCCTAGGGAATGTGGAAGTCAGATGGCTAAAAGTAACCGAGAACTGTGGACTGTTATTTCTAGGAAGGTGTTTGTAGATCTGTCTTAAAATTGTATTTGCTGACATGCTATTCAAAAAAAAAAAAAAAAAACCCGAAAAAAAACAAGGGAAAACCACCACCAACAAAAAAAAAACCCTAACAAAACCTGTGTTCTGAGTTGCTGAGTTGTTTCTTTGTTATTATTATTTCTATGAAGTCATCCACTGTTACTCTTGGTTATTATGTTTCCTGTATCAATATATTTCTCTGCCTAGTGGTGTTCTGTTCATCTCAGAGTATGGGATTATCTGCTGCTAAGATGATTACTTTTTTCAGAATGGGCTTTGACTCATTGCACTAGGAAGAATTGAGGGTTTTGTCCAGTTTCAAGATTGATGTTCTGCTACCATCAGTGCTTTGTTTCAACCTAAGTAGCAGAGGAACAAAAAGTAGTTATTTTAGCATTTTTTTGATTCAGGCTTTCATTTTTAGAAAAGTAATTGTATGATATTGCACCTTCCAGTGATCAAAATGATTCTCAGGATGAAAGGATCAGGGAGTTTTTAATGTATTATTTCAAAATCAAGAATTCAGTCCTTTCTTCTCTTCTTAAATTAATTGTTTAGGATTAAAGTAAGGTCTAAATTCTATACACTCATCTCAGAAATAATCCTGTGACTGATCTTTCCTTAAAGACTTAGTTATCAATGCTCCGAGTGAAATTTATGTGCTAAACTGTATGAAAAAATCAAAAATGAAACCCTTTCTTTCCTTGCCTCTTTCATATGTTTTTGCCTTGTTTTTTTTTCCTCTTAAGAAAGAGGGGGTTAAAAGTATTTATTTTAGTTGCACATTTGCTGGCTCTGGAGCAACGATGGGAGCACAGTGAGTAAATAGAACTGTGTGTCTTTTTATTTTATTCTTGTGGATTTCTCGCCCTCTTCTGTTTCATCCTCCAGAGCAGTTTAAAGCAGCATTCTGGCATTTATTCTGCTTAGTGTCTGACATCACAAAGTGACCCTCTGGGAAACAGGGTTGTGGATGCAGTCTCCGTTTTCTTTTTTAGATCTTGCTTTGCTTGAAGAGGGGAGGGATTTCAAGCTTTCCTCACTGAAACCAATCTAAACATTGACTGCTTAGTGTTAGCAGTTTTGTTTGGACTATTCCTGTCTCTGGTGCTGTGCTTCCCCTGAGCAAGGCTTTGGGAAGTGAGCTGTTACCAGTAAACAGACTCTGCGTTCTGAGCAAGTGCCAAATGAGAAGAGAAGGCTTGAAGATACAGCTGCTCCCTTTTGTGCTGGTTTGGCTGCATGCATCTGCTGATGCTCAGATTCTTCATGATAGTTGCCTTGAAGTACTGTTTTGCTTTTTTTTTTCTCCCCCTGCTTGCCTTGTTAAATTTGAATCAAGAAAGAAGTAAATCTTCAAGTTTAATGGGGTGATTGGCAGGGTACACATATTGTTAGTCATCTGGGATATGAAGTTATCTCCAGTCCAGTGAGACTGGAAGGAGAGGCTGTGTGTGTAACTGTTTTTCTAAAGAATTCTTAGAGTGTAGGAATTCTCATCAGGAACTGTAATTTCTTTGGGTCCCTTTTGGGACAGTATTAAAATGGAAGGGTGACTTTGAAAAACAAAATGCCCTTGAGCTTCGACTTGTTTCTTCTTGTCAAGTCTCTCGGTCTAATTAGTGTGCAGGTAATCAGCCTGCCATCAGGAGATAATTATGAGATGCCAGTCTCTAATAAAAATGGAAATGTTTGCCTGCCTGCACCATTTCATTTAGCGACTTTTTCTATTGCTGTACCTCTTGTGGATATTGACACCACTCAGGATAGGTTTTTCTTTGTTAAGGCATGAGTGGCTCTGCTTTGTTTTGCACATATTTAGGCTGATAAACGTTATGTTATAAACAGGGCTGTTAAGTTCAGTAGATGCTGCTTTGTAGCTTAGTGTTCAAATCAATGCTCCTCTCTGAAAGGATTTATGGAGATGCTGAATACAGTGGCATGAATTGTCCCATTGGTTTCAGTGGGACAGTACATGACAGAGAAGGCTTTGGCAGACCAAGGTCCTGTGTGCTGAGTGCTGCAGTGCTTTATTAAAAGGCAGCCAGTTGCACAGCACAGGTAGAAAGCAAAGGCTGCAAGACACCTAAGCGTCTGCCCTCTCCTTTTTTGGTCTCATAAGGCTGGTATTCCTCTAGCTGGGAGCTGCCAGCTGCTGCAGTACGTGCTTAGGAATGCACAAACTGTTTTCAGCTGAAAAATAGTGATTGTGAAGAAGAGGAAGTAGCAAGGCTAAAGGAAACTAGCTTAAATCTGCGTGTAATGCTTCTGCGGAGCCATTTCTGAGCTGGTTAGGGGGTGAACTCAGAGCTCTTGTCATGAGCAAGTAGAGGCAAGTTCAGGCTAAGTGAGGTAGCAGGTTTGCCTTGGTTATTTTTGTTTGGGATTTTTTGTTAATTTCTAGAGGACTGAAAGATTTTTTCTTACAGTATTTCTATTCAATAATTGAAGTAGAAGGTATTTATTTGTCAATGAAGAAGGAAGCGGTGTAGATGAATAAATGGAGTTCTTCCTCCTTCCCTGGGGTTTCAGGCGTTGTCCAGCTCTGGCTGTGCTGGTGTTCTGCACGTGGAAATGTGCTTTGCAGATGGCAGTGCAGCCTGGTTTTCTGCTAATCCCCTATTGGTGATGGGGCTAGGATATGAACACTAACAAGGACTCTTTTGGAAATGCCCCAGCACTGTGTAAGATGGTCCTTGGTAAGTTTGAAGGCAGGAGTTTTGAAGATTCTAGGCTTTTACCTCCAGCTGTTTTGTTTGCCTTCTGTATGTGATCCAGTTGATCTTTACACGACAGCAGAGTCAGAATCCTAATCCAAATTGTAATCTTTTTCTCAAGCTCCTGCAGGCTGTTAAGGGCAGAGGGACAGAGGAACAGTGCCTTTTAAAGCTTTTAAATTGACAGAAGGGACCTTTGGTGAATATTTTCTTCATGGAAGATTCAGTTTGCTTGTAGTCGGCTGTAATTTTAGCTGTATTCCTGCTATCTTATGTGCAGTTGTGATATGCACATAGGAACCCTTTTTAGTCTTGTTACATGAATTCATGTAACCCCTTTTGAGGGGAAAAAACCTGAGTCTGTCTATTGCTCTGATGAACATAGAGCTGAGAACCACATGCACATTGGGTGACTGTGGGTGTGGGAATGCTTCTCAACAAGGGATTGTATTGGAGCTTCTAGCAGGTACATCCTTGGATATGTTCAAGGCATCTGTGGTACAGAAAGGAGCTGCTGGCACTGCTGTTGGTTCCATTGGCCCAGCTGAAGAAGCCTCTGAGAGGACACACAAGAGGACACTCCTGTCATCAGGTGGTGACTGGTGTGTAAAAAAAAAAGTTTGTTCATCCCCCATCATCCTTCCTGTCCTGATTCCTTCAGGGATGTGGTGGGCAGCCTGGGGTGAGCTCACCTGTTCTGCCCCTTGCTCTCCTATATCTTTATGGGTGGACTACACAGATTTCTGTGGGTTGAAATTATCTGCTGTGCCCCTGAAGGGGAAACAGGTGTTGGTGTTTTGTGTTTCATGTTTCTATTTCCATGGGAATAAACACCCTGCAAGTAGTGAAGCTGTCTGTAGGAAGGTCACACAGCTCTCCTCCAACAGCAGTGGTGTTATGCAGGACAAGTGTCGCAATGCTTGATGTACTGAGTGCTTTCATCTAGCACAAACAAGTCAAAAACAAACAGCATCTTGTCCCAGTCTGGGTGTGCTCAGGATTGGTTTTGTCTAAAGGAAAAACTGAACCTGGTGGCATTTCCTGCATGAAGTGCAGTGACAGGTCAGCTACGTGTAGGCTTCATCCCTGTGCCTTCCATGCCAAAAAGCTTCCAGCAAGTTTATACTTGTCAAATAAATATGATAACAGGGCTTCCAGGAAAACCACTTATCTCTCTTTCAGCCTTTTGTGGCTTGGTGCAGCTGCTATTTGTATCCTGATTAATTACTGCCACAAATGATTACATGGGACTGAGGCACAATTAGGATCAGCCTACAATTGTCCCTAAGAGGGGCATGGATGCTTTCACAGATGGTTTCCCTGTAGGATGAAGCTGGCCAGTGTCTCCAGCTGCATCCAAGCTATTTTGCACTGTTAGTGTGGTGACTTTAATCTTTCAGTGCTGCACATTCAGAGTGAGAGCATGTTGCCTTTCACCGAGCAGCGATATGTGGAGGGAAGAGTCAAACATAGCTGTCAAGATCATGGGATTAGAGAGCTTTCTTCATAACCTGCCCAAATTGCAGAGCAGCAACCCATTATATTGGTTATTATCTCATGGGAACTGGCTGCAGTGTTTGCTCTGAGAGCCGTGATTCTGTGAAAACACAATGTTTGGGGAGTGGAGGGGATCAATTGCTGGCTGAATCAGCTGCTGATCCAGGAGCAGCGCAGCATAATTCTGGTGTAGGTGTTTCAGTCCCTGTCGCTGTGCCAGTGGGGGAAAAGTCAGGAGGAGTCCTGTGGGACATGGAAAGACATTGTTCAAAGCAGTTTCCTGTTGCGCTTATAGGAGCTTCTTTCATGATAGGGGGGCAGGTATAGAAGGGCTGTGCCATTCTCTGCTAAAAGGAGGCCAAGAGATCTTTGGGGTGCTGTCCTCACGCCCTGAGCTGCCAGAGAACACACCTGAGGGGTGAATGCTGCAGGAATGGGGCTGTGCTGTCAGCTGTGCTGTAGCACAGGCAGCAGTACTGGTGTTCTTTCCCACCTGCCTGAGCTCAGCATGCTCAGACTGTTATGTTCCTTCCTGGGCTGCCTGATGAAGGGAGGCTATCCCCTTTCTCTAAGCCATTCCGAACGACGCAGACAAAGAGGCAGGAGAGTTCTGTATTGAGAGAGCACTTTATTGTGATACTCTGTGCAGTGTGGTAATCCCGTGGGGTTTGAGAAGTGCTGCTGTAGGGAGTATTTTTAGTCAAAGCCCTTAATGCTGTCTTGTGCTTGTAGTAAAGCCTTAGCTCTGCTGTGTGTTGTATACCTGGGAAGGTGTGGGCTAAAGAGGAGGGAGGACAAACCATGGGTGGAAATCAGAGGCCCTGACAAGGTGGGGAGTGATGATGTCCAAAGCCCAGCCAGCAGCTCCAGCTGTACTCAAGCAGGGAGGTAATGCTGGCTGATACAAGTACCTTTGTATCAACTGGATTCAAGCGACAAAAAGGGGTAAGGTAGAATGTGATATTTAAATGTAACATATATGAAAATCAGCTTTAAATTTAAAAGCAAAGCCGGCCCATCTTGAGAGCGACCGTTTCATGATGTGGCCAGAGTGCTGTTTGACTTGGGGCCCTGGTTTCCATCAGAAGAGCAAGAGCAGAGGTAGGAGTGAACTCTTGGTCCCACGGAAGTCGCCTGTGTGTCGAGTCAGTGATTTCAGGGGAGATGGAGTCCACCCTGGGCAATGGTGGTCCCCACGTGGTCAGGGGAATTTTCTGGTAAATCAAGTGCAGCTGTAGTGCCAGTGCCCCAGGAGGCAGGTGGGGTTAAGCGGCCTTGTCCCCTCCCGTGTAGCCCCCCTGCTCTAATGGTCATCCGTGTCTGGGTACAGGAGGAAGCCCATGAAAGTGGAGTCGTTGATGTTGTCGGCATAGACCCCGTTGTTGTCGCCCTCCCCGTACACCTGGAGCCAGACCTCATCCCCCGAGCTGAGGTGCAGCAGGACGGAGCCGCTCGCTTGGTCGACATTGTTCTTCTGGAACTGGTCGTAGGTGAAGATCACTGCCTTGTCCTTCTTGTAGAGGCTGACCTTGACGTCCGACATGTAGACCGTCAGGTGGTAGGCGAAGAAGTACGTGCCGGGGATGCTGCAGAGGAACTTGCCGGTGCTGCTGTCGTAGTGGTTCTGCTCGTTGTAGAAGATCTTGGTGAAGCGGATGGGGACGTTGGGGTGGGGGGCTCGCTCCGTCAGCCCCACGCTGAAGGCGGAGCGGTACACGTAGGCGCTTTCACCCTTCTGCCCCTTCATCCCCATGTGTCCTGGAAATCCTCTCGGTCCTTCTGCACCTGTGGCACCCTTTTCACCTGTGTCACCTCTGGCACCTTGTAGACCTGGGAATCAGAATTTGGATTGGAATCTGTTTGTCCTTTTCTGCTACCCTGGTGCCAGAGTTGCAGAGTGGCCCGTGGCATCATGGCTGCCCAGCAGCATGGAGCCCAGTCTTCTGCCTTGTAGGCAGGCTGGGTGACATCTGTGCCCAATGGTGTGGGACATCACATCCCCACCCCCCAAGGTGTGCCAAGCTGCTGGTAGCTGTGTGTCTGGGGAATAATTGTTAATTGAAAAAACAGCCATCTACCTAGCTTTTGCCATAGGCTGTGTAATCTCTATTGCTGGAGGCATTCAAAAGCAATCTGGACATGGTCAGCCACTGCTCGTGGGATGCACCCACCAGGTGTCATGTGTACTGGGCCTGGGGCTCATCCTGGGACTGCCCATGTGCTCCAGCATGTGTGTACCCCAAGCTCCTCACCAACCTGGTTCTCCTTTGTCCCCTTTTTGTCCATCTTTTCCATCCTTGCCATCCCTTCCAGGCAGCCCATTGTGGCCAGGGTGTCCTGGTGCTCCTCCCATCCAGTTGGCACATGACATTTTGGGGTCAGTCTGGTCATCCTGGGCAGCCACCTCTGTGCCATGTAATGCCAGCAGCAGCAGCAGTGAGCAAACAACGAAGCCTGCTGAGCTCCTCATGGTGAGTTCCTGAAGTGGATA